CCCCACCACATTGACTTGCGGCTGTGGCCGTGCCTGGGGGTCCAGCTGAAGACCAACTTGGCCATCAGGGTAGTCAGGGCTGGAGTATGCTGAGCCCGGGACCCCTCCTTGAACCATTGTAAAGGAAGATGGAGACGAGTTTTGGTAGCTGCTGTGAGCAGAGGGCATCTGTGAGCCAACGGGAGACCGGTAAATAGGCTCAGCAGAGGCGTGAGGAGGCGTAACCGTGCCATGGGGACTGCCCTCTGACGGGTAGCTGTGGAGGGAAGCCCTGAGGAGAGATGAGGAGAAGGAGGGTTCAGCTCCATCGCTCACTCCTGCTGCTGGCTGGTACCCTCCTGTGAGGGCACAGCACCAGCAAGCTGCTCAGTTGTTCAGAGGCAACAGTGGGATGGGTCCTGCCAGCTGCATGAAAGCAACTACAGGCAGCTTTGGTGCCCCTGCACACCCAAAATGCTTCTCAAAATATGACTTTCTGGGAGGCACAGCCTCTTCCCAGCTCCTCTCACAGCAAAATGCCTGGTTCATTCCTCCCTGCCAGCCTTGCCAGGCTGGTCTGGTGCAGGGCACCCCATGGGCAGGGTGGAGAGGGGACAGGGACGATAGCTCCATCGCACCATGGGGCACCAATGCTCAGCCTAACCCAGGGCTAGGGGTTACCACAGACCCCATCCCTCCTCCCGCCCTGGGGTCTGGGTTCCCAGTGAGATGCTGCTGAGGTCCAGTGACAAACAAGTGACCACCAGTGACCCAGCTTTGTGTCCTCAGGGCAGCGAGCCGCATGGTTAGCCTGGACCCCCAAACCCTGTGCAGGGAGACGGGGGTCCTCGCAGAGGCAATTTCAATGTGGGAGGAAGCCTGTGCAGCAGGCAGGTTCAGCCCCACCAGCCCTCAGGACCTGCACTCACTGCCTTACCCGTCCACGCTGTGAATGGGGCTGCTGGTGGAGACTGGGCTGGGGGCGGTGAAGGAGTTGGCAAAGGTGCCGTTCCTGGCGGGCACCTCCGGGCCCCCGGGCTGGGTGGTGGGCAGGCTCCCTCCCCTGCCCGTCGTGGCTGTGCGGGCAACTGACTCCACATAGCTCCTGGGCTCTGCAGCAAAAGAGAACGGGAAACAGATGAGCCCACAGCTCCCATGGGAATGGGGCCATGCCCTTCCCAGCATCTCTGTTTCAGGCAGTGATGGTGCCTGAGCAGAGCTTCTCCAGCTGCACATTTCCCCCCATCCCTCGTCCCAGGGATTGTGCAAAAACGCATCTGGCTCATATGGACCTTTAGGTTACTCCAAGGGATGCTGAAGGCCCCAGCCAGGACATAGAGGGGGGCTGTGCCCACCCCCTTCCCCAAGGGCACCAGAGCACACTGGACCACGGTCCCTTCCCACAGGGGCTCCTGTGCCACGGCCCCTCCGCCCTGCTCTGATCCCTACCCGGGATGCCACACAGCACACGTCGTGCTCCTTGCTCATCCCCAACCCCTAAAAATAGAGCCAGTGATTCACACAGGACTGACGACGATGCCCAGTGGTCCCTGCCCCATGCAGCCCACCTCTGCCAGCCACCTCCAGCAGCAGACCAGAGAGCAGCCCCAGCTATTTCCACTGCAGCATCCAACATTCTCACTTCTAGCCCGGCTTGGAACCAGAGCCCACAAGCATGAACAAGAAAAGCAATTTTCCTTTATAGCTGCCGAGCCGTCCCATGCCAGGAGCAGCAGGCTGGGCTGGCCGTCCACAGCCCCAGCAGCCGCCAGCCCCAGCCCTCCC